TGAGCCATTGTCAGTGACAATTAGCTCAGGACAGCCGAATCTGCTAAAGGTTTGGTGCAGTTGCGATATGGTGGCATTGGTGGTTGTGTTCTCCATAAGAAATATTTCAGGCCACTTCCTCTATGAGTGGACCATAATGAGGAAACTTCGGCCGTTGATCGGTCCCGCAAAATCGACATGGATGCGGCATCATGGCTTGGTAACTTTTGGCTAGGAATAGACTACAGATTTTTGTGGCGCTTTCAAGACATTGGAACACTTTTAGCAGCGTTTAGCTATTTCTTCTAACCGTTTTTGCAGGAAGGGCCAGTATACATAACTGCGGGCAAGCGCCTTCATCCGGTTGATTCCAGGACGCCCGGCATGAAACTGCCAAATAAGACGCTCCTGAAGTGCTTTGGGATGACCATTGTTTCCGAAATTAGTGTGCAGTCGTGTATAATAGACAGCGAGTGCCTCCTCTGAAATGCTGTTGCAACTCGGCAGCTGGACATGAATGTGGCCAACTAGTTTTACGAAACTGTGTAACCTTCCTAAATATAGGATCCCAAAGCGTTTCGGTTCGTACAGCGTCTACGGTAGCTGGTAGACCATGCAATGCGTCAGTTGCCAGAAAGTTGACGTCATGTTCAATCTTGACCGAGGCAATGATTGTGTCCTCATGTTATTGCTGGCGGGCATCAATTAGGCGTGACAGTGCTTACGCTTGGCCAATAGGAAGTGTCGACTGGTATTGGATCTCGAAATCATACCCAATTAAGGCAAGAGCCCAACGTTGTAGACGGTTGACTGTGTACGCCGGAATGCCCTTTTTTGAACCAAAGATAACCAGCAAGGGCTTGTGATCTGTCAGAAGCTTGAAGCGGCAGCCGTATGGCATTTTGTGGAATTCCTTGATCAGTTTCACTATGGCCAATGCTTCTTTATCAATTTAGCTGTAAATATTCTCGGCCTTCATATGTGTTCTGGCGGCATGGGCGATTGCCTTCTGAGATCCGTCGGCGTAGGTGTGTGATATTACTGCACCAATCCGGTAGCTTGATGCATCTGTGGCTAAGGCAATCTCTTTGGAGGGATCAAAATGAGTCAAAAGCAAGTTTGAGGACAGTAGTGACTTGACCCGTTTGAAGGAGTTCTGGCATTCTGATGTCCAGTCCCATGTTTGACGTTTGGCTAGCTTGTTTAACGGGGCACGCAGGCGGTGCATCTCATGCGAGAATTCGCTGTATTAGCTGATCAGCCAACAAAAGGATCGCAAGGACTGTAAATCTGTCGGAGGAGGCATCCTTCTAATGGCTTCTATATTTTCTGGATCTGGTCGTCGTCCGTCCTTTTCGGGGATAAAACCGAGGTATTTGATTATCGGCGTGAAAAATGTGCATTTATCTTCACGGATCCGGAAACCGTACGTCTGTATACAACCAAGCACTGCATCCAGGCGGTTATATAGTTCCTCTGGTGTTCGACCCATCACTATAATATCATCCAGATATGCAGCGGTTCCCGAAACGCCCGCTAGCATAGTACTGAGCAACTGCTGAAATATGGCTGGCGCCGTTTGTACACCAAATGGCGAACGGTTGTATTGGAATTGCCCACGATGAGTGTTGATCGTCAACAACTCCCTCGAGACTTCGTCAACATCCACTTGAAGGTAAGCCTCGGATAGATCAAGCTTAGCAAAGTGCTTAACACCATTCAGCTTTGCAAAGCTATCTTCCGGTACGGGTAATGGGTACTGCTGGTCGTCCAGCGCGGCGTTGAGGCTAGTTGAGAAGCCAGCGCAGACGCGTACCTTGCCATTTGTTTTCTCCACTGCGACAATAGGTGCGGCGCATGATGTGTGGTGGACGGCTGTGCTGACTCCGGCACGTTCCAGTCGATCGAGCTCTTGCTCAACAGTTGACATGGCTGCGTATGGAACCGTTCTTTTAGCCTTGGACACTGGTTTAGCACCTGGTCGCAAGTTCAATGTTGCCTTGAATTTCGTGCAATGGCCCAATCCATCCTGAAAGACAGGAGCAATTTTTCGCTTCAGGGTATGTGTCATGTCTTCGACGGATTTACCTGATGGGTCTGGACTTGCTAGAACTCGGTTGCAGAACTGATTCAATGGAACATCGAGGAGATTCGACTTTACAATATGTCGAGGCCAAGAAGATGCAACTTCGGCCGGTCTGATATGTAATATGTTCCCGACTTTTTCACACCTTGGAAGGCAATCTTACAATTGAGTTTACCTACTAAGTGTAACACACCGCCGGAGGAATTATGTGACACTTTTTGAGACTCGACCATCTTCGGCCTCTTTATGTGATTCTATGTGCTCCTGGAAAGAATCGTGATGACCGAGGCCATGTCAAATTGCAGTATCATTGGGATCCCATTGATAAACACACTGAGGAATCGTCGCCTCGGTTTACACTTGCTTTGGAATGCGGCAACTATGGACGGGGACTCAGCGCCATCCGTTCTAGAATTCCCCTCCAGATAAGAATTCTGCACTTACTTCGACCGGAAATGACTGCCGCATTCCTCTTTATGCCCACGCTTATGGCACGTTTGACGAATATGGTGTTTGAAGGGACAAAAGCGCGAAATGGCATTCGCTGTATGACCAGTATGCTATGGGTGGTTTGTTCGTCGGCTTCTTGAAGTGGTTGCTTCGGTTGCTGGTCCTGGCCATTTTCACGAGTTGCGCGGTATCTAATTGTGCACGACCACCGCGTTCGACCATGGCAGTGTCGTGTTTTAGAGGGAACAGCCGTTTGCATTCGCTTACGAGGGCCTTCAGTGTCAGATCAGGATCCCGCTCCAGCTTGGATAAAAGTCGTGTGCGGATCTCAGCATCACTGGGCGACTGGGGAGCGCTGACGAAAATGAGACACTTAAACTGATCGTCCGTTAAAGAGCGCAGTTTGAAACGTTCACACTCACGGTTAATCATGTCTGCTAAGGTTCCAAAGACGTCAGATTCCTGTTTGACCATTTTCAGGCATTCATAGTGAATACCAAACAAGGAAAGCGACGCACCAAAAATGTCCTTCAGCTGCGACGCTACTTCATCAAACGTCAATCCTTCGGCTGTTTGGGCAAAATGCGGTCCATGAATCTTGAATGCTGACTTATTCCGAGCTTGCGCAGTAGCAATCGCACCTTTCAGTTGTCTTGACGAATGAAGTCCGTCTGGAACATGTCTTCCCAACGCTTGAACCACGCCTCGAAGCTGCATCCAGAAGACGCGTCATAATTGGATTCAGTGATCGCGTTCGTGAGAACATCAACAGAAATCGCCTGCGTGTCCCACGCCACTGCTCCTGTTGTCTGCAAACCCCAACATTTTGTCAGCTTTTCAATAATTATATTTTGTGCTTCCATTTGAGCTTGCAGTTGGAAAGGCAGATTTGAAACTGTTTAGCAGAAAAATTCATCACATTTCCAATTTTCTCCACCGCCATTTGTTAGAATCTTCTCACTAGACGCAACTCCACACCTACCAATCCACTGCTTCACAAAACGTCTTGCCCAACCGAGAGAAAAAGCAAAACGCTGCTGACCTTGACAAAATAACGTATTAATCGCCGCCAACGGACATTGTACAACTACTGCGGACCTTGTCTGTATTGTTCTGTGAGCACTACGCGGTAACTAGATTTTTTGGCGTCCCATACTGGTCGAGATTTTCAGCTGAAATAACGTGGAGAACAGTGTTTGAATAAACACTTAAAACGAAATTCGAATATCGTCAAATTTTCTCATATCCAAGATAGCTTGGATCGATTAAAGTGGCACTGGCCAAAGCGTCTTTGGCGCTTACTTGTAATTTTTCCGGTTGTTCCCAGTTTTAATCCCGGTTTGCACGCTGTTTTTGCCTTTTTATTGCGGTCGTTTTTCTATTGTATATGTGATGTAATTCTACTCTGTTTTTTGCATGAACATGGCTGTCTCGCTAAACACCGAGACGGAAGGACCTGTGGGGTCCTTGTTTGATGAGCTTACTGCAGCTTGCGGACAGGTTAACTGTTCAGAGCCAGTAACAGATTTATCTGGCGGTATGCAGTGTGACGTCTGCTGCCGCTGGTATCACGAAAGCTGTACTGGCCTACAAGCTGACCAGTACAAAATGCTATTATCCAGCGTTCACTTTCTTTTCAGCTGTGCTCAATGCTGCGCTCAAAGATCTACACGCCCGGCTATCACCGGTGCTAAACTTTCAGCGCTGACTTTAAGGTTGGCAGTTGTTGAGTTGGCGATTGCTAAACTCGCCTCTATTGCGTCGCTCGATACGAAGATGGATTTGATTTTAAAATCCCTGAATATTTCGATTGAAGACACTGCAATAGACGGCAACATTGCTGGCGATCCGTCCACTGGAGTCTGTCACTCGGTCATGAAGTCGCACATCCTACCGGTCAAACCAGGTAGCATTGCTGGCTATCCTCATGAGCCGATCAAAGGGAAGAAAAATAGGGTGCGGAAATACCAAAAGCCCTCTGCTAAAGCCAGAGAATTAGTTGCCATGGCATCGGAAAAGTTGCCGTCTTTGACAGTCGTGAAGTCGTCTGACGATTGTACACAGAACCTTCCGATGATGCTGACCGTCTCGGCTGCCTGTGAACCAGCCCGTTCTGACGAAGTGCTGGTAACTGCTCAATGCGGTACAAGGTCAACGGCCCCTGCTCCAGTGAACCAAAAGAAGAAGCGGACTAGAACTGCTCGTATAACTTCGAAGGGGCTTGAAGACCCAAGAACTAGTAAGACTTGGCAATAGAGCGGAAAACCTACGCTACCGTTGCTTCGGCGTCGTTTGTGATGACAAGGACAGTCCCACCGCCAGTGGTGAAAAAAGCTGGTGTAGGTGTCGACTCCAAGGCACGTGGGGTAAACACTTCCCGTCGTGCCGACTTTTTCACGGATAGTAGCGTTATATTCCGTAACGTTACTGAATCTGCGGGCCCCGTCTCCCCCCTGCCCGCTTCAGCGCCCCCTGTCCCCGTCCG